GTGGATTGATATGGGGAAGTAATTATGAAACTGCAGACAAAGACACCACACGAACGAGTGTCCCAGAGTACGGGCAAATACCCATACAGCCGAGGGCAGGAAGTTGTTCGCGCTGAGTGAGGAAGTAACCCCATTTCCTGGAATTGCTGTACAAGCCTCCATATCCAGCAGGCCAAGCAGTTGTCATGGTAACGTGCAATAAAATACCCTTAGCTCAGCATGTGCGGTGGGAGACAAAGCACAAACTAAACACTGTTACCCTTAGGGAAGCTTTACTGGCCCACACAAACAGTGGCGATAGCGAGCACACAGACCAAGCACGGCCTTCAAGGCTCAAGTCTTCCAGGTCCCCTTTAGACTGAGGGTGGTGTCATACAGGAAGACACAGTAACATGCTTAACTGGGATGTCTGGAGCTGATCTTTAGTATTTTATCAGGAGAGATTAAATGCAAGGCTATCTGTAATAAACTACTGAGGACTACATCCAGAGCATTGTTTAATGCAACTCTGACCACACCAGCTGTCCCAAAACTTTCACTGCAGTCTGTTAAATCACTGAAAAGATTTCATGAACCCATTCATTAGAAACGCATGGGTGAACCACCGACTAGCACAAAGTATTTAAAGTAGTCATTTGCTTTAATTGATGAAAATTAGGTTAAGATGGAGGACAAAAATCCTGACTGAGGTCAAGATATAGGGGGAAAAAATGATTCAGTAATTATCCCACTGACCAACCAACTGCCTCGCTGCTTTTTACTGCCTGGAAAAGTTGGACGAGCCTCAACTGAGCATACGGAGCAGGGCCGAGGTGTTTTTGTACAGCTGGACAGCAGGATACAGTGCTGGATCGCTTTCTCAGCGTGTGTGTGTGTTTTGAAGGGAAAAGAGAAAGAAAGAAACAAGGAGAGTAATCCAGACAAGACAAATTTAGGGACTTTCCCTCGATCGTTCAGAATCTAATGGAAAACAATCTGACCTTGCTTCCCTACTTCTACCACTGTGTGCAAACTTAAAATATACATTTACTATATGATAAGTTATTTTAAAGCTCATCTTTAAATGAAAAAATTTGCATTTTGTTTAATTAGGTATTTTTCTAAAAATACGCTGCTTACTATGTGATTCCAGCAACCGGTTGAGAGAGTGCATAGTGAGCAGACTGATTTCTGAAGGTTTGAAAGCAAATGTTTCCCATACTTAAATCGCTCATCTGTTTGAGACATCCTTCGTTACTTTTGGTTTCCTGATGTACCAGATGTTTTCAATATGTGATGGGTCTGGACTACAGAGTAAAGCTCCTGGAAAACTCGAAGGATGTGATTTGGCACCGTCTCGCTGAAACACGCAAAGCTTTTCCTGAAAATAGATGCAGGCTGTGCGGTGAACCTGTACATCAATCAGCATTAATGGTGCCTTCACTAACGCACAAGTTACCCGTGCCATGTGTAGTAATGTGGTAAAGATGCTGGCTCTGTTTAATTAGTTATGAGCAGTTCTGCTGGTGCTGTTCCTTATGTCAGTTTTTTTTTTTAAACTGTAGTGCATGTTTAGCTCAGACCGTGACCTAAACACTCCATTGGTGTTCAATAGCTCGAGGTGAATTTTGGTTAACGCCGTCTCCCATTTCAGAAGTAAAACTGTTTTGTTTTTTTCATGTAATTAGTGCATAGGTGTAAAGATAACAGTTACCTGCGGTTGATGACTCGCTACAGCACTGCTAGACTATCAATCGTGCTGGTGGAGAATTCACAAACTGAACACTGGAAGCAATCACAGTAACAAGTTTCTGATTAACTGAATATTAAACACAGGACTGAAACTAATACTGTGGCCCGTTACGGCAAAGCATTTCTTTCTGAGCTTTTCCGTGTAGTTTCCGTCTGCCTCCGGTCTGATGTGCACCACTTGGTTCATTACTCCATGCGCCCTGCCTGCCTGTCTCCAGGATTACGGGGCCACATTGGCCAAGGAATGCAGGCCGCAATAATTCCCTGTTAATTTGCTAACCTGCTCAACAGTGCAGACACAACGCTTTGTAATCCCCTCGACTTTCAGAGCCACAAACTCTGCCTGCTATAGTAATGGTGCATGTGGTTCACGTAGGGCGTGCACAAAGCTTCATTCTGGTTTTTGCCTGAAGTGTATTTAATGTGCGTGGATCAAAGTCACTCAGACAAAACTGGTTTAGTAGGAATTGGTGGTTTGAGCAGTGCGCAGAACAATGGTGTCAAGCCCATTACTAGGACTTTCATCTTGACTGCTAACCAACTTCAAGACCATAACCACACCAAGTCTATAGATTTACATCTATTCTTTGGAAAGATAACTAGAGAGAGAGGCCACATTCACTGCATTCGTGCATGTAAATGCAAAACCAAATATATGCGGAAGACAGTGCCCTCAGAAGTTCCCACCGACATGTGTGTGGTTATCCAATTTTTTTTTACTACTACATTAAACAAATAACGTGGCGGAAAAACACACGAGGAAGAGCTGTGTAGCTACATGACTAACTTAACTGTATGCAATCTGAAATATGACCACAATAAAGCGATAGCAAATTTAGCTTACTGAGACTGTGTGAGAAAGTTGGATTGTGTCACCGACAGGATGCTTCAATTCACTTTATTAGTAACACGACTACAGTGAGTAGGTAGGGCAGGAGATTAGCAAATAATGAAAAGCTGTGGGCTGGTCAATAAACATCTTTGTCTTCCCTGCACTGGGCACAGGCTGCTGCAGATAAATCATATTTCACACCAGGCAGCAGCTTGGGTCAGATGCAAGTAAACCGCGGGTGGTACAATCGCTGCTCTTTGTCAGCGTGTATGTACAATACAATACAAACGCACACGCAAATAGATACGCACACGCATAGTAGCAGTCTGCCGTTTGCACTGGGCAAGCATTTGCAACCATCCACATGCCCGCAGCACAGGGGCAACACTGTGTCGTGCGCCACAACAACGGCACCTACGCTTCCTCGAGAATGAGAACTCTCTGGCCCCGACCGAGAATAAGGTCAAACCTTTGCGCCTTTCCCCAGACTGAGCTGTGATTCGTGCTCTCCCGCTTCTCATTAAAAGCTCTCAACCCACAAACGTTTGGCAGGCTTTCATTGTGAATTAACTAACCTGAAACCACCTTCGTGCTATCGAGACGATCAAAATCTTTTAACGTGTCATCCTGTCACATGAATAGCTGACTTACACGCATCAAAGGATGCGGCAAAGACAGCATCCAGACATTATGCAGCTTCATTACCAGCAAGAAACGAGATAAAAAACTAGGACGATTGACTGTGGTGCAAACAGCGTGTGAGAGAGAGGGAGGGAGAAACAGAGAGGGAGGGAGGAATGTCAAACACCAACAACATTCCTGTGCTTCTCCTTGCACTGCCTGCAGCACTTTTACATTGTCTGTCTTCCTTTTGTGTAACTTCACTGTTCACAAGTCACCTATAATCCATAAAAAACCGTGAGAGAGAAGAGCAGTGTTGGAGCTCTGGGCTGAAAGGTTAGAAAAACATGTGGGACAGAAATCAATTCCCCCGCCTTTGTACTCTCTTTATGTAAAGGATGTAAAAAGAGTACAAAGGCCAGCAGGTTATTTTGTATTTTCATGGCTCTCGGAGCCACCACTGAAACTAACTAAGCAAAGAAAGAAAAAGAAAAAAGAACACACACATCACAGTAAAAGCCCAGAAACAATCTCCAGTAATCACAAAACTTCATTCATTAAAAAAAGAAACACCAAAGGTCAAGGATCAGGGTCATCTATAGATGCAAAACATAACCACAGAAGAGCTCAGAATGAAGGTAAACCCATCTAACCCCAGCCACATCCCTGTGATGTTCACCAATGAGCTGCATCTTATCTTAACCAGACGATGCAGCTGTGTTTACATACACAAATCATTGTCAACAAACCTTATTTCAGTTATATTTAAAGCATTACTGTTTTCTAAAACAACAGTAAAATACATTTAAATATAACCTGAAAAAAACTGGGCGATGCCAATACTGTTATGTTGTTGTTACCTGGGTATCACTTTGACCAAACCAGCAGGTAATAAGTTCGGTAACTGCGTTTCAACCAAAATGGCATCACTGTCTGTTTTTGTGGTAGACCTCCAGCCAGAGTCATTTTGCTGCTTTAAGCCAAATAAAGAGAGACTTTAACTGCTTTTAAAGATAAGCGAGTGGCCAAAAAACAAGACGAATTTACTGGTTAGGAAAAACTGAATAAAAGACAGGTGTAGGGGATGCTGATATTACCATTTATACTGAAAAATGTACATCGATGTATTTTGCACGTACATTCCTGGGAACTTCATTAACATTTTCAGTTCTTACACACAACCGCACTGTACACTCACATGACATTTAACCCCCAAATGCTGAAAAGCGTATTACCGTCAGTGTGTGCTGACACAACTCTGTTAATTGAGCAGTCTAAACAAGATAAAGTGTCCATTTTGAATTCTTTCTCCAGCGCTCGGTGCTCAACATCTGGGCAGCGGTGCGACACAGCCGTGCGTTAGGCCGTAGTACCCGCATTAACTAAACCATAACGCCCTGAATTAGGCACAGGGGAAGAAGTTGGTCCACATGGAGGTGTGAAGCCGTTCTCTTTATTTTAAATCTAACGAATACAAAGTCAGCGACCATGAGCACAGGAGAGTCCACTCAAAGTAAAAGGTACCCAGCGTGTGTCTCAGAAGGCCACGAAGGAGCCCAGAAAACCCCCACCAAGTCACCTCAAACTTCGATTAAAACCTCTTCCATAGCTTACCTCCGATCTAAAGCTAGCCAAAGGAAAACTTTATTTTTGTTTGTTTATTTTTTTAAAGAGTTAACAGGTTAAAACTGACCTCACCTAACTAGCTAGTGTAAAGAGATGCTAAGTGTGTCCGCAGATGCAGAGGCAACGAAACGTGATGGCAAGCGGCCGGTGACTAAAACACACCACGGTTTCGCCACAGCGCCAAACTTACCTAAAGAGACCTGGATGAAGCAGAAGACAAAGGCCAGCGACTTCCCCGGGGAGAACACGGGTATCTGCTCCATTTTCTCTGTAAAATCCACATAAGGTCGCCAGCCCGAAGCTGAGCTGTCTCCCCGGAGGTTCGTCGCTTCTCAGAAAGTTTGGCAGGAGATGGCTCAGGCGGGAAAAAGCAGACTTTCGAGATCAGCCGCGGACTCTGAACATGTCACGTTTTTTCCCCTGTACGTGTTTAACGACCTGTCTCATTAAAACCGTTTAAAACTCACATAAAGTTAAAGTTCTGTTGTCGCACACGGCAGCGACTCGCTCCTCCACCTCTCTGCGCTTACTCGAGGCACGACCGCAGAAGAAGCGCACCACGTATCCTTCCGCCGGACGCCGCGAGGGTCTATCGCGGAGCTTTAAAAAGACACTAAAATACGTTGAAAACACGGGGCTTAAATCCAAATTTAGCTTCCTTATACCACAGGGAGAAAAACAGTGTCGCTTGATATTTGTTTTATCTCGGGAACGAGACGGGAGGAGGGTTTAGATGTTTTTCGCTCTCAGCGTCGCCGCGGCGGAGGAATTTTTTTTTCTCATTTTTCTACTTCTCTCGAAGTCTGCTATGACTCAAAATTAACCCGTTCAATGATTTCTTCTCTTTTCTTTCTCCTCCCCGGGTGCTGCACGTTTTTTCCAGGTACGTCTGTGAACGCCCACACTTAAGCAGCGCTCTTCGTTACCGTTGCGGTTCTGCCCGGGCTTAGCACCTCCGCGCTTTTCAGGTGTTTTTGGGGAACAGAAATGTCGACTTAAAAGGTAAAACATCGAAGACTGAATGTGGATCAACAGTGGCTTCTAGTGAGCTCCAAAAACACTTTTTGTTGCACGCCACCCTCCCTCATTTTAATAATGTGTGTCATAACATTTGAGGTGACTTTTAAAAAGAAATATACGAGCTTGTTTAAAATGATTTTAATTTTACAGCTCATTTAAAATCAATATCATTGGACAGAAAGAGCTGCATAAGAAGCTACAAGTTTTACAGGTACACAGATAGCCAGGCGCCTACATGTTTACCTACCACAAGGAAAACATTTGAAAGCCAATAAATGCTTTGGGGATTTCAAACTGTTGCTTTGTTTTTCTTGGAAGCTTCATCACTCCTCCGTGCTCAGACAGGCCCATCACACTTGCTTTATAACCTGTTAGTGATCACAGAAATCCCAGACTCATTATCCCCTATCAGGAGGAATGATCCAGGTGTAAATCACAGGCTCATCACAATAACAAAGCAGTGTCTCATCCCAATGATTTGTTTGTCTTTACACCCCATTAGAGAAATATTGCCAAGCCTCCTGCTGCCACCAGCGGCCCTTTGTCCTCTATTCAACTCTGCTGAAAGGCCTGGAACCAGAGGAGAGCAAATTGATCTCCTCAGGGGTCCGTACTGACAATGCCTTTGTTGCTGCGGCCAATGTCAAGCTCTTGCTCTCCATGCGTGGTTGGCTGTCAGGTGTTGGCACGACAACACGCCGTTTGGTCAGAAGCTGTTTTTATTGACAAACCCCGTCTCACGTTTGCTGGTTCTTCTGCATTCACATTTCTTTCATTATGTCACTAAAGGCCATTAGTGAAATCCAGAATTTCTTATAAATATCATATGTCACATTAAAGCTAGCAGTGATATAAATCACATGAAAGGTTCACTTTGTCTGCAGCTCTGTTGTCCTAATGACGTCACCCCAGATGTGGGCTTCTGTAATTTAGGAAGGATGGAGTGAGAAAGGGTGGGGCTGTGCCTCATAAGCAGAAAACACTGATTGGTTCCTCCTTGCCATTACTCTGAGAAAAGAATGCGTTAACACACAAGTTTGGCATGATTTCAGAGAAAGCAGTAAAAAGCGAAAGAAAGCTTAGCCACCCTGATGTTTTAAACCACATTTTCTGAAACTAATCAGCAGCTCCAGCCTCAGGTCGCTTGTTTATCAAGAGTTTACCAGGCAACAAAAGACTGTAGTTACTTCGCCAGCGCTTCAGCTTTCATGCAGCACATTTCGGACCAACTTTGTGAGTATTAGTCTTTTGAATTTTAACTACCCTTGGCCTGGCTCAGAGCCACGAGGCCCTGCCACATTGGTGAGAGACACTTTCATCAGTGTTTGGGCTCTTCACGCCGATTTGAAACTCATCCGTCAAGGGTGACTCCAGCTGTCGGCTTGTAAAGCTGTGCTGCACACAGGGGACAGATAGTCATGACTGATTATTCCAGGGACAGCCTGTGCGTGATCTTGTCCACTCCCCTTAACCATAAACATGCCATCTTTCCCGAGCGTGACAGCCATGTGAAACCAAATCGGTGCCTGTTATTCAAGAAGAGTGTTACACTGCCTTTATGTTTGATGGTGGCAGATAGTATGAAGTGTGTATATGATGCCTTTCTATAATTAGTAGAGGCAGGCATCGATACGCTTTTCATTACTCGGCTGTGGCAGCTGATTTGCTTGCATCAACAGTTGTGCATAGCTGAAGTGGTTCCTGCATGTCAGTTCTGGATGCTTCTATATGCTTCATACTTACTGTGTAATTACATTATTGAGAACAGCACTCTTAAACCTCAGTGCAGTCTGTAAGCTCCGCTGAGAGTGTTGACAAGCTGGCATTTTGTGCAGGCTTTGATGAGATGAGCCTGAACGTAGGTATGAAGCTCTCGTGACCTCTGTGTCTTTGTTAAGACACATGCACATTTGCACAGGAAGCATCATTTATCTAATGTCATCTTCACAGTATAAGCAGATCTAGTGGACAAGAAGCTGAGGGGGTATATTTAAGGTTGATTATCACCTGACTGACCCACTTTGACTGCCATAAAAGAGACAGCCTGCAGACAGCTTTACGTGTGTGACATGCGTGCCTCCAGACGATAAAAGACCTGTGGATATATTGTCTTAAAGGTTACAATGAAATCGTCAGCCATGAGAGCGATCCTTCAGATTTCAGATCTCCTTGATGGAGATTGGCCACTCGTCGGGTCAACAAGATAAGACTCCACATGGTATCTTATTTACAGAGAGATATAAATCTGTTAGAAGGGTTTCAAAATATTTAAACATTGTAAATAATTTTACTGTGTGAACTTGAGGTTATATGATCGAAATGTCAACAAAGAGGCAGATAATGCCCACGTAAGTCGAAAAGGGTCTCAGATCAGCATGGAATCAGTGTAATCATTTACTTGGTGAGACATGGGATTGCCTAGAGAAAGTAAACATACCAGTGGAAGTTGTTTTTGTTTTTTTACTGGCTTCATTTTGTTGTAAAATTTTAAGATGGGGACATCTTGACAAGCTCAACATACTAAGTGTAATTTCACAAACACTCGTAATCACTCAAAACCGATTTATTCTGACTAAACCACTCATCAAGATAAAGCTGAGGCTTCATATTTTTTCTCATTGAGCTGATGAATCAGTTAGTGAGCACACGCAGCTTAGCTGTTAGCAGTCTTCAGCTTTGGTTTCGAAGAACAAGTTATACTAGTGCAGCGTTTGGCAGTGGCTGACCTGCTATTCTGTGATCAGCTCTGTGTGAGAAACTAAGATAGTGTGTATGATCAAATGTGTGCGTCACAGCGTTCCACGGCGGTCAAAGGTGGAGAGTCAGAGAGTGCGAAGTCACGATGTGGCCGAGCGTGATGTGGGCAGAAACTTCAGTTTCCGACGAGAGGAAGAGGGTGAGGAAACAGGTGATGAAGGAAAGGTGTGAGGAGGAAGGATGCATGCACGCGTATGAGAACACATCTTGTAAGTTGACCTGGGGCTCTGGCAGGATCAGGTGGACGGGAATGTGCTGTTGCGTGTGGATGGGATCCTCCCGTGAGCGTCCTAGCGTGCCCACCGTCACCCCACACTAGCAGGCTATTTATATTGCACTGTGGGAAAATAACAGCCCCAGCAGTGTCATCTGGGCCCTGCAAGGTTTATATTGCCTGCCCAGAAGTACATTCTTCCCAACTCCCCGAGTCACAAAGAGCGGAGACAAACTGGCATATTAGCTCTATATGTAAGCATTATTGAGTTGATTTAACTCAACTCACGAAGGACAGTTTTTCTGTTTCTTTAATGCAGCGAAACAAGTTCACAAAGACGAGGGTTTGCAATGCATTTGAGAAATACTAGTAGGACACATATTCAGAGCACTTTGATAGGATTTTAAATACATCCCCGGACACACCGCACATGCACATGAATTCTCACTTGTGGAAAGCAAACAGCCCTCAGTCTTCTAAAACGGGGCTTCTGGGATGAATATAGTTTTACTGTCAGCTGCAGACAGTAAGAGTTAAACAAAAGCAGGCAATCACGGAGCAACTGCAAGGATCTAACATCTTAGCCACAAAGAAGCACAGATTGGAATAATATTTGAAATGTTAGTATTTGTGTAGGTTGGTGTTAATTTTGACACCTCCTACAGTTTGCACTTCAGAAAGGCGACGGATGGAAGTACAACTGAAACGAATGTAATCTGCTGTGGAAAAAATATAAAAATGCTGTGTGACACTGCATTAAGCTCACGCTGAAGCACTGGGATTGAACCAAAATAATGATATCACCATATCACTTTTATGTAACATAACTGTGAAATCTTTATAAATGTAAAAGTATTTTAAACGTCAGAAACAAACCAAAAATAAAAGTTAAAGTTTGGACCTCTGCAACCAAGACTCTGTAACAACTGCACCCGTTATGCTGCTGATGATATGTTGATCTGAGAGAGGTCTCAGGGAGGGCAAACTGAGTCCGAGCAACTCCCACCCAAGGTCGCCTAATGCATTAACACGTAGCACACAGGGACACGCAGACACACACAGTAATGTCAGAAGGAACACATAGACACACAGGCACCTAAATCTCAAACCTCATCCGTCATGTCCCGGTCATCCAGGCCCAGGGGTGCGTGTGAGTCAAACTAATCTAACATCCAACTAACGGGCTGAAGTAACCAACTCATACTCTGCGACAGCATATGTTCACAAGAAACATGGGTTTTGTTTGTAGGGCATTTTCTCCACTCTGAGTGTACAAAATATGCACAGACCATATTATTTTTGAGTTGAAGTGGCATGCTGAAAGTTATAGTGAGTGCAAAACTGAGTGTGTGTGGAATATCTTCCAGTGTTCTGTGCATCATAAAGTCACAAGCCACTAAAAAGCAGGCTTTCTCACAGTCACAGCTCAGGACTACATGCATGCGACAATAATATCCGAGAGATGAATGAGAGTCAAGAAGGGACTGAGATACCTGTGTACCTCACAGCACATCATCATAAATCATTTTTAATCGCTACAATAATTAATTGACATTAAATTTAACATGGCTGAGCTTCCTCTTTTTTAACCCCCCACTCCCGTCTTTGTTTAAGCCGCATTTTTATAAACCTAAAAGGCAGTTTTAACACTCAGGATAAATATTTTATGCTCTCAAAAGAGAATTTACGACTCATTTACAGGTTTGCTCTTTTTCTAAATGGACGTGGAGTATTATCGTTGGGAAGATGTGAGAGCTCGTCATTGGTCTACAATAAGGTGGTAAAGCATACACGGAGTGGAGAGTGGG